GAGAGAGAGAGAGAGAGAGAGAGAGAGAGAGAGAGAGAGAAGGGCGCGAAGAAAGAGATATACAAGAAAAACAAAGAAGAAACACACGCGGAGAAGATAAGAGAAAATAAATGGAAATAACTATAAATCGTAAACTTTTGCTAATCGTAAGAGACGCTCGGTTCGCGTGAGCATTGTTGGAACTCGACGAGGAGAAAGGCGGGAGAAGAAAAAGAAACGGGATCCCGGACTTATTTCCGATGTGAGAGTGTTATGCAAAGAAAGAGAGAGAAAGAGAACGCGCGGACAGGGTGAGCACGGGCGGAGATGAGGTTGGGGAGAATGAAAATAGATGGGTTGAAAATAAATCGGTATGGGAGTAATGCGAGGCAGAAATAGAGGTATTCTAGTTTTCTGATGCGAATCGTGGTGGACCGACGGCCAATATCGATGGAGAACCAGCCGTTTCTCTCGTCCCGAACTGTTGTACCTTCAGGTTCGTTTATGCATGATACATATATGTATATGAATAAATATAAACGCGCACATGTGCGCGCGCGCGCAAGCACACACACACACATACACACAACAAATACACACACCCTTCAAACAGTACCGACATGAGTAACACAGGAACACGCGATCGAATGTCATACATTCACGGTTCCGCATTTGCATCCCGTGTTTAGCACTAAATTCAAACACGTAATGCTGGGTTTTAGTTTATTCATATTTATAATGATCGCACTCTGTACTATTATACGATGATATTACACAGACCATCCATACAGGGGCATACATCCCATTCCGTAATAAGAATTAGAAATTATATAGTCGTACTTTGAGCTAAACGCGGAACGTAAATACGGGCCAAAAACGCGATCATCATTTTCACGGGCTCGTGGAGCGGCGCCAGATTTTCGATCGGCGTTGTCCACGGGTGGAAAGTAACGAAGCCAAGCGACTCCTTCTTGTCATCTCGCATTATTGAAAGAAAAAAAAAATAAGGACTTTGTACGCTCATTTCTTCATGTCTCACTCATCGACGACCAAACATGTGAATTCGCCGCCGCAACCGTCGTCATTGCTTTATCTGTCGATCTCACTCTCCGTTGAGGATGAGCGCTCGATAATGTTGAACGGGTCGTTTTTTTGTTCGTCTATTCGCGCGACAAAGTCGTTACAATTGACGATTTTTCGTACTAATCGATTATTTCAACTGTCGATCGGCTACGACGATTATTATAATTGAGGACGTAGCTTTTCGTTTCGCCAGTCTTCCCAACGAGATTGTTTCGCGGAAGGCGAGTTGTTCCCGCTTTTTCGCACATCGCGGAGGACATCTTTATGGTTTAACGCGCAGAACGTTTATTCGTGCATGTGATATTTCATTTGTCTAATGTCGCGCGTCCAAGTTCAGTCTGAGTTGAAAGCATTGCCAAGAGCGTGTCAGTCCGTCTGCCGTGAATACAACAGTAATAATAACGAATTATAGTGATAGTAATTATTAATTGTAACTAGCGACCTACTTCCACTTTTTCCACTGGAAAACACGCGTCTCTGTATCATAGTACTTGTACCATATTTATATTTTATATGTACAAATTAGTCATGTAATTTCTTGTAATAAAGATCAATTTACAACGTGCACCATGACTCATCTTCTGTTGCCCCCGCCGTAAATTTTCAGCAAGAATTGCAAGAGAATACGCAACGCAACAGGGCCAGATCGAAGAGACTGTTCGAATCCATTGTTTTTCGCAGTAACTCGGGAGTCGCTTTCAAAATAAACTGCCCGCATACCATCTGGAAGGAGAGCGACCCTGACGAATTCCTGAGACAGTTTATTGAGACGTTCTAGGCCACGACGCAATTCTAGGCGACGTATGCCAATGTAGGTCCACCTCCGTTTGTCTGCCGACGTCGGTACTTTGTTTCACAACGCGAAACCGCACGCGACTTCGCGTAGAAACGGGCACGCCCGTCGAGATGAATCGCACACCGTTTCGAGGAAATTGACGACAACGGATGAACAAGCGTAATAACGCCACAAAAAACGAAGAGCTCCGTCGGAAGTTAGTGCGATTTTGTGTCGAAAGTCACTTTATCTTGAGAGAATGCCGATTTTACCGACAAAAAATCTTTCTATAACTAACTTTTTTCTGCAGAGTTTATGTCATATTATTTACACAGAATTAGAAATGCTTTTACACAATGGAAAATTTCAAAATCGAGTTAGCGTAAATATTTGTTTGATACAAATGTGTCCTGCACACAGTTTGTATATGTCAACGTGTGTTTATATCACTCAGGAAAATTCTAAAGAAGATTGCTGTACCCCGAGTCGAAAATTTGATTCTACTTTCAACCTTACTATTCCATTTAACACCTATTTTGATACCCTGAAACTTACATTAATCTCTTTTGATTCTATTTAGCCTACTTGAGTTGAAATTTTGATACTATTCTCAGCTTCATCATGCCAGTCAATACCTATTTTGATATTCTGATAAATCTATAATATTATCTATTATCTATTTTGACGCTAAAAAAAGTGAAAAAGAAATTTCGGTTATCATCAGAATCAAACTAGAAGTCAAATTGTATCATTAGACTTAAACCTACTTTAATAATTTAGCTCCTATTACGTTTAGAATTCAAGGTTTAACATAGGGCCAAGTTTCGACTTGGAGCTTTACTACTGGATTTCTGAAGCTGAAAAATATACAAAAATTTTACAAAAAGTTCTCTATATATGGTTGTTTTCTATTAAATATGGTAAAACAGAGCAGCGCACATTTTTATATAAAATCTATATATATATAAAAAACGCGAAGGGGATAACCTGATTATGGGAGTTTAGAATCATTCACCTTGACATCCCCTTAATAGCAAGGTCAATAAGTTGTTTTAACATTGAGTTTCTCAGTAATAATAAAGCTAGTATGTTATATATATATATTAAGTAAATAAAATTTGTTTGCGGTTATCCTCCGCGGTGACATTATATGGATTTAAATGCATCAAGAGAATCCAAGAGAACCCGAGGCGTGACTTCAGAAATTCAGAAAAAAATATTTCTGTCATTAACTTCGCTGCGGCTAACCGAAAAATATTCAGGAGCAAAATACAGTTGAGAAAGTAATGAGAAAATAACGAAGTAAAACGTATCAGCTTTAAATGCGAAATGCAACGTAGCCGGAATACGAAACGACGCTCGAAAATGATGGCGTCGGCCATTCGGGTTTAGCCGTGGGCTGAATCGCGCAGCGACGCAACCTTGCATTTCAATCGCCATACTGATCACATAAAACACGATTATGATCGCGCAATTAATTACGCAAAATTCACGCGCTTATTATAACCTATCATGCAGCCTTGGCGTCTGAATAAGACGCTCAAAGATGCAATTGAATCAATGGCGGTTTCATGCACGAGGAGAATACGCGGCGCAAATGCGTCGCTGTAACATGCGAATCCACCTACCGGTGGATACGTGGAATTGCATCGCTCACATGTACACCGCATAATTTACAAATCTATCGCTGAAATCATAGGCTCGTATCATGAACTATTGTTCGTTTGCATGGCGAACAGATATGCAAATGCTGAAAGCGTATTCCTGTCCATCGCACTGATGCTTTTTAAATGTTCAACGGAATAATTGCAAATCAAGTTCCTCGATTATTTTTACGATCTCACCCCCTCATACAATATTCATATTTCTGTGAAAAAATAACGACGCATCTCGTGTAATGCTCTTTCCGCAAAGAATTAAACATCGACAAATCGTTCAGTTTCTCCAATTTGACGAGTAGCGAAAGAGATTTGATCGGCTTCGTAAACGATATGGAGCAGCGGTACGCGTCCCTTAATCATGAAAATCAATGATAATGCACGTAATTGAAATGTATACTTAAATAATAAGAAGCAATGTGCATGATCACGCAACGTGATTGTCTCATAACAACCCCGCCTCCATGAGACTGCAATGAGACCTCCATAGGTAGGCTTGCACAGAACGTTGCTCAGATCCAGCCGGATTGCAAAGGTCGCGTCTTCCGTCATGGCACGGTGGACCACTGGTATCTTTTGTCAATTCATTTAAAACATATCGAAACACACCCAAACTTTCTGCTTCGATCTATTCGCGATATTTACTCGCGAAATGATGTGCAACGACCCGCCGACATGTGCGTCGCGTCAAGTGATGGTCATCGCGCGGCACAAGCGACTCGTAGACGGCTGGAGTGAAAGAGAGAGAGAGAGGGGGGAGGGGTGAGGGAGAAACAGGCTGAAGCATCACGTTCAAGATATAACCGATTGCACGTTAGCCTGTTAATGGCGGGGATCGGAAGAGCGGGGCTCGGAGCGGTGTCACGAAATTATCAGCGAGCGCGGGAAGCGAGCGTGGCGTTTCATGTGCTCCGAACTCCGCACCGCGGAGCAGCGGTGGGCAAAGACGATTAGGGGGCGGCAAGAAGAGACGTCGTGGCCAAGTCGATCAGCAGTAGCGTTAAGGCAGTCCGACAGAATGGCACGCTGGAGCGTCCTGCTGGGCCTGCTGGCTGTCGCGGGCCTGATCGCGCCCTTCACCGCGGCCCTGTCCAGAAACGACCTGTATCCCTACACGGGACAGGGCGCTTACGTCCTCGAGGCCGATCCCAACGGGATGCTGATGTCTACCGAGGCGACACTCCAGACGCCCATCGTCTTCTACGACAA